GTAAATTTCGAATCGTTTTCGCACGACGATAATCTCGACGATCAAGTTTACGTAAATCCGTCAACGTGGAACTTTTCTTACCATTGTTTCACTCAGCCGAGTGTTTTGCTCCATTATTACACGGTACGTTGACTTGAACTACTGGAAACTTATTATTTAATATTTAGGACAAGTTCACTTGTCTCGCAACGTTGATCAGTCACTGTCAAAACGTTTAAACTTCATTATAAACATGCAGTACAGTCATTGACATTAAGACATTAGCCTTGACTTCTTCTCAAATGCCTTACGCACGTAAAATATGTAAGGACGTTATATAATTTTTTTTTTAACGTATTTCTTTTTTCTATATTTCAAATATCACTTTATCGTATTATACGTATAATCGACGAAAGAGAAAAGATATCCGATAAAGGGTTTGGAAAGAATCGTTTCATTTGAATTATTTCTATCAATATCTATATCTATAAATACAAAAGTGCAAATTTGAATGCAATAAATGTAATTACGTGGCTAGCTCTGAACAGTGTTTCGCAAAAATATTCGCTTTCTCTTTATGAACTCGAACTTTTTTTTCACCGTTATAAATATATTCAGAGTCTCAGAATTTTGCCAATTTGCTTTTTTTTCTTTCTTTTTTTTTTTAACACGTTACTTTTTCGGCTTTGCCAAAATTATAACGGCAAATCGCTCGGAGAGGCGAACCTTTGATCACTTGTTCAAATAACAGTTAATATGTGATAATATTAACACAAGAGATTTCTAAATGTTTAATGTCGAAGCGATTTTATATTTTAATAAATCAATAAATCAAAAAATCCTTTCCCTGTTGATTTAACGTTAGTAACAAAGTAAATTCGATTTTCTCTTTATTCTTTCGATGATATCTATTTTTTTTTTTTTCGTCAAAACACGTGTCGAACGATCTTTTAATAATATAAAATAAAATCGCGTCGTTAATTAATGAAAATTGGATAATTAAAATTTAATGAACAAGTTTATTTATTTAATTATCACATTATTTAATCCTACTTAATTAACCGATTATTAATTATATATATATATAAAAAAAAGAAAAAGAACCTTGACCTAACTAATATTTAAAATATTAATAATTTGATAATGTCCATTATCAAGAGAGATAAAATTCAAATTGGATTAAAAAAAAAAATTATTTACAATATCGTATTAACGTATGTATAATGACGACATGACGAACACAACAAGTCAATAATAAATGTGAAGATTTTTCACGAGGAAAATTTAATTTATAAAACCAGACGATGAATCTTCGAATCTATCGCGTCCTCCCTCCCCCCTCATGATAGTTTTTGCTCCAATCTTACAAGTCATAGTTATGATATAATGGAGATCGTTTAAATGAAATTGTTTGCAATTATTTTTTTTTTTCGTTTTTCTTAAATAAAAATAGAACTTACGTAGAATGATAATTTTATTTAAATAATAATACGATTCGATTTCACTGATAACGAAATTCGAAGAGAAGATGATTTTTGATCCGTATAACGGATCGGTTTTCAGATAAATTTCTAATTAACCTCTTTGGTAATTTATTCTTATTATTATTAAAATTTATTATCAAGAAACACGAATAACAAGTGATGATTCGTGTGATGATTTTGCAGATTTTGAAACGAGAGATTAGTGAACTTGAATATTTTGAATATTAACGGCATATCGACGATTCCGATATCAGCCAATCTCGAAATTTTTTTTGCAGTTGTTGTGTAATCCTTTGCATAATACATAAAAAATTAAAATAATAATCGTTCGATAAAACCACGTTTTTCTTCTCTTTTTTAATTGTCCAACATATGCTGCAGGTGTAAAATGCAACTTGATATATAATAACGTTTCGATCACATCTTTTTCTTTTTATTCTTTAAATAAATGTTGCAAGATGATCGAGTATCCGTATATAATCTCGGGTAGTTGGAGCAGTCGTGGTAAATTTCTAACATCTTTTGAGCGAGTGCAAAGCATGATATAAGTATAAAGTAAAAGCAAGATGAGAGGGGGAAAAAGGGGAAATTCTTCTCGTTCTTAAGATTAAAATAATATTATATAGAAATATAGGAAAAAAGATGTACGTGTTGAAATTCGATGGAAGACATGGACGAGACATACAATGTTAGTATGGCACGAATGGTTATAGTATCTCGTTTATGCATAATAATGTAAAATTATTGCGAATGCGGTTTTGTATCAAAACCACAAGCCCAGGATAAATACTTCCTGTATTCATCCTTCTTCATCCGCTGGCATTGTCTGGAATGCTTGCCTCAAAATTTTTATCTCCTTGCTTCCTGAGATGAGCAACAAAGACATTTTATATATATAAAAATTGTCCTTATTTCTTATTTCTTACTTCTCGAAATCGAATTCATTACACTTCGATTCGATTCGAAAAAACTTTCAAAAATTTTCGATAAATTCAAAAATTTCTTCATCCGATATCTCCCCAATTTGGTTCCAATCCATTTTGCAATTTGTCCGTAATGATATTAAAATTTCACAATATTGAATTCGTAATAAAAGAAAGAAAAAAAAAAAAAACAGCGTTGTTAAACTTTCATTTTTGAAACTATCATCGATCTTCCATAATCGAGTGAAGAATTTAGTCGCGCGAAAAAAAATATCCGATTAATCACAATCTTTCTAAGTACAGCAAATGAAATTTTGTTAAATCGATTAATCGAAAAATTATTATTATCAAGGTTCGATAATTGTTAGAAATAATCAATATATATATTGCAAATGAATATTTATCACGATTCTAACACTCTCTCTCAAATGCCTTGTTATCGATACCAATTTCCAATCTTTTTTTCTTTTTTTTTTTATTTTAACTTAATACGAGCCTTAATTCAAGATTTTTTTTTTTTATTTGCATCAGATTACTGCAACGTAATTTACGATTTAATCGTAAAAAAGATAATAGCCGATATACGATACGAATTTCCTATTTTTGATATTCGAAGAGGAAAACTGTAATCTTCAATCGTAATTCAGAGATACGTGGATAAAGAAAGCCCGGTGGCTTGAAATTTTGGAAAAACCGTGAAAATTGTGATTTCTTTTGAAAATTTCCCGTTCGCTCAAATATTTGAAGAGAAAGAATAGATGAGCCGAAATTGGGCGTGATTATTCGTGATAAAGTTAACCAAAAAAAAAAAAATTGTCTGGAGAAAGAGATAAAATCTTGGCAATATTTTTGCTCGTTTTGGGAATGTCGAAAGGTTGTGAAAGCTCGATCTGGTTTAAGTTCTCGGTGCAATAGAACTGTAGAAAATGTGCGTCATGCTTGTTTCTATCCCTCCCCGTGGACGCAAATGGAAAGTCTGGAATATACTGG